TTGGTGCTTACCATAACTCCAGAATCCACTACAGAGACTGAACCTTCTCCAACCATGCAAGAGACCCCAACTCAGCCTCCAGAGTCACCTAAGGAGGCTGTAATTCAGTATCCAATCCAGCAGGAAGTGACAGTTCCAACTCCAGGTCAGGATCAAGCTCAGCAACCAACGTTGCCCACCGTCACAGTTCATCATGAGGAGTTACGACTTACCATAACTCCAGAATCCACGACAGAGACTGAACCTTCTCCAACCATGCAAGAGACCCCAACTCAGCCTCCAGAGCCACATAAGGAGGTTGTAGTTCAGTATCCATTCCAGCAGGAAGTGACCGTTCCAACTCCAAGTAAGGATCAAGGTCAGCATCCAGCATCACCCACCATCTCATTTCGTCCTATGGGCTTGGGGCTTACCATAACTCCAGAACCTACAGAGGCTGAACATTCTACAACCATGAAGACTACAACTCCTCCTCCAAAGGACCTTGAAGTGACACTTGGACATCCAGAACAGGTTCAGAGTCAACATCCAAACCTGACTGAAGTCACAGTTCCACCTATGGACTTGGAAAATACTGTAAGTCGGCAATCAGAGTCATTTGAGACAGAGTTTCCTCCAACAACTCAGCATTCAGTGGTGCATTTTGTAAAATATACCTCAAAAAAGGCCTACACAGCTTTAACTGAGCAACCAGAACAGAATGCCACCACAGACCTCAAAATATGTGAGCGCTGTACCTGCAAAGATGAGACGCTGTCGTGTATTGGTCTCAGCCTACAGCAGAGGCTCCGCAGCGTGCCTGTGCCAGAGCCGGACGCCTATAACGGCACCTTCTCCATCTTGTAAGAATTGCCTTTACTCATTTGTTTTCTGCCTCCTGCTTGACATGGCAGCCTCTTCCTTGAGGTCTTCTTGGGCCTTCTTCATCTCCCCAGCCATGTTGACTGCCTTTCTGTTTTTACTGTTTCTTTGTCAACTATCCCTTATCTTCATTTTCCTTTTTACTACTATTCCCCGTTCTCCAATCTTTTACTTGTAATTGTCCTTATTCTTCTTCATCCAGCTTTTTAACCCCATTATTTCATTCCTGAACCTTTACTCTCCCATTTTTGCTCCATCCTCTATAATATCAGCATGTCCCTCTCTCCATCTCCTTGGTGGTGATACAACAAAGTGGTTAAAAGTAGAAACTCTGGAACTAGACTGCCTGAGTTTGGACTGAGGTCTCTCATTTATTAGCTTTGTGACTCAGTTTCCTTATCTGTGAAATGGAGATTATGATAGTTATCGTCTCATGGGATTATTGTGAGATTTAGATGAGGTAATATAAAACACTTGTATCAGGGCCTAACAAAAATATGAGTGTTAGTTATTATTATTTTGATTCCTCAGTTATGTTCAGAACTCATCTTTGTCCCTTGGCTTTCTACAAACAGTACCCGTTTTGTGCCGAACCCAAGAGTAAGTACTGTGGGAGCCACACTAGGGTGATGACATTATCTTCAGAACATAAAAGGGTAGGTGGGAAGAACGGAAATAGTCATAAAAAGGGAGGTGACATGTAATTCTGCTCTAAAAGAGGTGCCATGGGTGTTGGAATTCACCAGACTCTGTAATCAGTGGAGTGTGGAGGTCAGGGAGAGCTGTGTGGATAAGGTAACACTTTAGCTGAGGCTTAAAAAATGGCTCTGATTTGTTAAATAGAGAAAAAAAAAAATAGGGAGTATAAGTCTAGGCAAAGGCATGGCTGCAGGAATGATCAGGAATTAAGAATTAGGTTAGGGGGGCGCCTGGGTGGCTTAGTTGGTTAAGCTTCCGACTTTTGCTTAGGTCATGATCTCACGGTTCGTGGGTTCGAGCCCCGCGTCGGGCTCTGTGCTGACTGCCAGCTCAGAGCCTGGAGCCTGTTTCGGAGTCTGTGACTCCCTCTCTCTCTGACCCTCCCCTACTCATGCTGTCTCTCTCCTAGAAATAAATAAAACATTTAAAAAAAAAAAAAAAAAAAAAAAAGAATTAGGTTAGGAAGCAGTTAAAGATACAATTATGAAAAATCTTGACTATCAGCTAGAGAGGTTTAAAAGTCACACTCTGAGTTATAGAGAGAGCCCATTGAAAGTTTTCAAGCATGAGATACAGACCATTATAACGAGGATTATTTTCAACTCCCTGTGTAAGAGCGATCTAAAGAGGAGAGCTTGATCCAGTGAGACCAGATAGAATATTCTAACAAAATCTTGGAGTAAAGTAACAAGGAGCTGAATCAGAGTGGCTGAAAAGAGCAGAAAGAAGAGCCTTGAGAGCACCATGAAGGAAGAAGTGGCAAGATGGACTAAGTGATGGAGTCGCAGGTGGGGTGTGTACGAAAAAGAGAAAACTCAGCTATTACTCTGAAGCTTCTGTCCAGATAAAGAGGATGGAAATTTAGATGTCTCTTAACCAGGGAGCATAGGGCAACGAGAAGGCTTCAGGTTGACTGGAAATGTCCAGTAGGCAGATGGGCAGATGGGGATCTGTTTTGACTTATTTCTGACTCCCCTGAAAAAATGTGTATGTAAACTGAATAGGTAAGCTGCTGCTGAGGGAAGAGGACAAAACTAAAGGTAAAGATTCAAAGTCATACACAGAGTTAGTGGTTGAAACTGAACCTCAGGCATTTAATAGCTTCTTTTAAACATGTGTAATTCATGGCTACATGAATTATCATGGATATATATTTTTTTAATGTCACAGGTATAGAGGATAAAATCCTGTGAAAATCCCACTGCACCCTCCCTACCAACTCATAACTCCTGTTACCTTTTTGGTGTGTGTCCTTCCTCCCATCTCTTTCCTTTATGTTTTTTCCTAATGAGGGAATACTTTTTATTCCTTTTCCAGTTTATTTGTTGCTTTTCCCTATGCAATATGTCTAAGAAATCTTTCCATATTAGTTCTTCTAATTTCCAACTTCCCTTATCCTTCTAACACCTGGAGAGGTTTCAGCAGAAGGCACTGAGCCAAAGCTTTGGTGTTGCCTGGCATAGGCTTCTTTACATTGGTTTGCTGATAATGGTAAATGTTTTCACCATTTTTTCTGTTGAGTTCTTATTTTCTCATTGATTTGTGGAAAGAATCAATTTAGACACATAAGTGATGTTGGGAAAAACATACTTCTCTCCAAAGTAATTAACCGGCATTATCTATCCAAGGAATTGAACAAATAGGAAGTTCAGGTTCTAAGGAGCTGCCTTGTTTGTGCAGCAATGGCCCCCATGCTTTCTCTTTATTAATTACACTGGGATGCTGAGGGCCGTGGAAATTAGGAAGCTGGCATTTTCTGCATTGGAATATTCCCCACAAAGTTGGCAGTGATCCTTTTACTTATTCTGTTCATTCTTTTCCTACCTATTCAAGGATCTGAACTGTGTTTTTTTACAGAAATTTCCAAGGAAACTCTATTTCTTACATTGATGAGAATATATGGAAGGCATACCGTTGGGCTGAGAAACTGTGAGTATATTCTCTTCAAATATGAACACACACACACACACACACACACACACACACACACACACACACACACACAAACTCACTGCATTCTAAGATCCTTCTTGGTCCAGAACTTTGAAGTCAGTAGCTCTGAGGAAAAGTGTTTCCCCTTTCCATATCCCAAATCGGCCTCTACCAATTGCAATTCTATGTTGACAGGCTCTCTTTAAAATTAGAGTCAATTTGGGGCGCCTGGGTGGCTTAGTCGGTTAAGCGTCCGACTTTCGCTTAGGTCATGATCTCACGGTTCGTGGGTTCGAGCCCCGCGTCGGGCTCTGTGCTGACTGCCAGCTCAGAGCCTGGAGCCTATTTCAGTCTGTGACTCCCTCTCTCTCTGACCCTCCCCTGCTCACGCTGTCTCTCTCTCTCTCTCCTAGAAATAAATAAAACATTAAAAAAAAAAAAAAATTTAAAAAAAAAAAAAATAAAAAAATAAAATTAGAGTCAATTTAAACTTATTTTCCATTATACAGGGAATACATGATTATAGTCTCAATATAAAAGTGAAATAACAGGGGGACCTGGGTGACTAAGTTGGTTAAGTGTCCACTTTGGCTCAGGTCATGATCTCACAGTTCATGGGTTCAAGCCCTGCGTTGACAGCTCAGAGCCTGGGACCTGCTTCAGATTCTGTCTCCCTCTCCCTCTGCCCCTCCCTGCTCATTCTCTCATTCTCTCTCTCTCTCTCTCTCTCTCTCTCTCAAAAATAAATAAACATTAAAAAAATTTTAAGGAAATAACAAATATAGTGAACACCTGCCTCGTGGTCTAACCCTCCACCACTGAGATAGCCGCTACTCTGGATTTAGTATATATCCTTCCAGACCTTTTCCCATACATTTATCTACATACATATTTACAGTAAAATAGGTTTGTTGTGTGATTTTCTTCTCTTTTTCTTACATAAATGTTAACATCCTACAACTTGATTCTTTTGCTTCATAGTATATCTTAGATTTCTTTCCTTCCAGTACATAGAGGGTTACTCCATTCATGCAAGCTGCTGCATAATATTCCATAGTATGAGTCTATTACAATTTAATAATTCCTCTCTTGATGGATGTTTAGACTGTGTCTAATTTTCTTGTCACATGCATTGCTGCATGAACCACCTCATACATGCATCTTTGTGTACATGCATAGGTATTTCTGTAGAATAGATCTCTAGAAATGGAATCGTTGGCATGAAGACTATGTAGATATACAATTTTAATTGCCCTCAAAAAAAGCTGTACTAACTTACCCACCGATCCGTAAACTGTGATTGCACTTATTTCCTCCCACCCTGCCACCCCTGGGCATCCTCTGTTTCTTGGCTCTTCTGATGGGTGAATAAAATGGGTCCCTTCTGAATTGGAATTTTTCTGATTACTTGTAAATTTAAATACCTCTGTATGCTTACTGGTCATTTGTGTTTCTTGTCTGAATTTTCTGTTCTTTGCCAATTTTTTATTATCCTTTTTTTTTGTTGTTAAAAATTGATTTGTAGAAAAGTCAGTGTAGACACAAGCAATTTTGGAAACAATATTAAAGAAATTAAACTGGCATTTTTCATGACAGACTGTCATATCATTAGTTCAATTTGAGTAGACACATCATAAATGACTTCTGAATTAATAATAAAAGACATAATAGTCATAGTCATCTAACTGTAGGGGTTACGATCCCCCTAAAGTGGATCCCCCACCCTTTGGTCTGATACCTTACTGGTAAGGGACAAATGACCGAACAAGGTGGTTGTTTTTTTTATTTTATGAATGTCTTAAATACTATATGTAGTTTATATTTTCATGATAGTATCTGACTTGGAGATCTTATTTCCCAAACTTGTAAGAAAAATGAAAGTAATTTGGCCCAAGAAATAAATAACATTCTCTTTGTTTAGAGAGTGGAGTGGGAGTAGGTAGGCTGAGGGACAGGGGTAGGAAAAAACTTTGAATTGTGTACTATAGATACCTTTGGAATTCTGAGCCATGCGAATATATATTACATCCTTTTAAAAAAATTAACTGAAATTTAAAAAATTAAGTTTTAAAAAGCATGTGTTTGGGAGTTCATATCCTAGAACATGAATTTGGTAAGATTTGATGATTTCTAATTCAGCTTGAGGGTTATGCCTTGTAACCTTGTCCATGACTAGAATGGGTTGAATGGGGGCGGGGGGACGTGGGGGGCAAACTTGTAAGACAGAGGTTTTTAACTATGGCTCAATGGTCCCCTGAGGCAAGACTTTTAACCTTTTTTTCTGTATATCTGTTGATGATCTGCAGAAGCCTGTGTTCTTGGGATAATGTTTTTAAATGTGTAATAAGTTAAAATATATAGGAAAAAGAAATTTTGTGGAAACACAGTTTTTAAAATATTTTTTAAAAAGATTAATGATATAGCAATAACTCTGCTTCTGTTAACACATTAAATAACAAAATATGGTGGTAAGCTTGATAACTATTGTAACTTCAAGGCAGTGATGAGAATAAATGATATTTTGAGATATCCACACCAAATATGTGATATGAAAATATCACTGATTTCTGCTGGGGACCACAGTAACTATACTGATCTACTGCGGTTTGTTGCCTACATTCATAATGGAAGGAAATGCTAATTCTAGTTAGAGGTTTGTGAAAATAGAGATGTGATTTTATTTTCCATCCAAGTTTGCCNTATATATTACATCCTTTTAAAAAAATTAACTGAAATTTAAAAAATTAAGTTTTAAAAAGCATGTGTTTGGGAGTTCATATCCTAGAACATGAATTTGGTAAGATTTGATGATTTCTAATTCAGCTTGAGGGTTATGCCTTGTAACCTTGTCCATGACTAGAATGGGTTGAATGGGGGCGGGGGGACGTGGGGGGCAAACTTGTAAGACAGAGGTTTTTAACTATGGCTCAATGGTCCCCTGAGGCAAGACTTTTAACCTTTTTTTCTGTATATCTGTTGATGATCTGCAGAAGCCTGTGTTCTTGGGATAATGTTTTTAAATGTGTAATAAGTTAAAATATATAGGAAAAAGAAATTTTGTGGAAACACAGTTTTTAAAATATTTTTTAAAAAGATTAATGATATAGCAATAACTCTGCTTCTGTTAACACATTAAATAACAAAATATGGTGGTAAGCTTGATAACTATTGTAACTTCAAGGCAGTGATGAGAATAAATGATATTTTGAGATATCCACACCAAATATGTGATATGAAAATATCACTGATTTCTGCTGGGGACCACAGTAACTATACTGATCTACTGCGGTTTGTTGCCTACATTCATAATGGAAGGAAATGCTAATTCTAGTTAGAGGTTTGTGAAAATAGAGATGTGATTTTATTTTCCATCCAAGTTTGCCGCCCTCCCCCCAATTCAACCCATTCTACTCAGTGACCTGCGCCCTAAAGGGATGATCCGCAAATGGATATTGCATGCACACCTTTGCACATGTATTCTAGAAAGTGCAGTTTTCTAGGGAAAGGATCCAGAGCTTTTATGAAATTCTCAAAAGATTCTTGTCTCAAAAGATTGAGTCACAAATTGGGGTGGAGGTGGAGAAAGACATTTGTTTTCCTAGAAATCTGTACTTATCCTCATAAATGCTAATAAATGGATGATTTGTTTTAAATAAAAGCATATTTGCAGATTGATACCTGTCACTTTCTGAATTCATTCAGCAAATGTTTATGAAGCATCCCCTATGTTCCAGGAACTGTTTTACATGCCAGGGATGTAGTAGGCTCAAGAATAAAATTGACCAAATAACCCACTTGTCAAGGGGTTTACAAATACATGATAAATATATATGTAAATAATAATGTAACATATAATAAATATATTTGTTTATATAAGTATATTATTTATATAAATATAATCGTGTATATATAATAAATAATAATGTAAATATAATAGATATAATTTCAAGTATTAATAAGAAATCTCAAATTTTCTAATTTATTCAACTACCATTTCTGCTGCTCACAGACTGAGTTTTTTATTAATGATACTACTTTTCATTCATATAATCTTGTGTTGGTTCTTTTTTATTGGATATACTATTTACATCTGTCGGTAGGATATTAATGATTCTAAATTTTTTATAATATTTATTTTTGAGAGAGAGAGCGCGCATGCGCGTGCATGCACACACACACACACACACACACACACACACACACACACACACATACACGAGCAAGTGGGGGAGAGGTAGAGAGAAGGGGAGACACAGAATCTGAAGCAGGCTCTGGGCTCTGAGCTGTCAGCACAGAGCCTGATGCGGGGCTCAAACCCATGGACTGTGACCTGAGCCAAAGTCAGATGCTTAACCTACTAAGCCACCCAGGCACCTTGTTAATATTGCTATTCTCAAATCCTCTTGTGTTTTCTCTGTTAACTGTGATTCATTGGCTACAAGCTGTTGGCTTTGTTTTTATTTTCTGTCCTTAATAGAGTTGGCTTTCTCATGCCATTTGGTCACTCCTGAGTGCAATTTATCTTTGTAGTTGAGGTTCTACTTCTTTTGTGTTCTGGTCCTAAGGAAAAGGGGAAATGAGCCACGGGGCTTGTTATTGGTGACGGGTCCCCCTGAGAATTAAGGAAATGCGGTGGGAGGTGACTTCTAGTGACTAGTCAGAGTGTATATATACCCTTCCTCCAGGGACCCTGGACCCTGCCCCTTTCTAACAGCAATGTCTCCTACCTGGAAGAAAACCCCCTTTGCTGCCAGATCCAAAGAGAAAGGATATGGGCTGATGTGCTGTCACTGCTCCTACTGCTATTTCCCAGCTAATCACCCTGCAGGTCGCCCCAGGCCATTTCTGGCAGGGGACTATTTGTAGAGCTACTCCCTTGGCTTTGAGCTAAGGTTGTGCATTTTTGAATTGTATCTTTTCTAACGTTCTTAAGCACTTTGGTGGGGTTCGGAGGGTTAGAGAGTTGGCATGTTTCAATCTGCCTGCTTTCCTCTTAGGAAAACAATTTTGTGCCCCTATTAAATCCTAGAGAAACTTAGGCAAATGTGTTCCCGGATACAAATAGAAAAATGTTCAAAGCAGCATTGATTATAATAACTAAAAATCAGAAAAATCTAGTATCCACCAACAGTAGAATGAATAAATAGTGTTACATGGGTATTTACTTTATACTTACTGAGCTGAACATTTATGTTATGTGTATTTTATGCACATTTTTAGTTCTCACAAATCTTTTTTAGTTGGGGGAAAAATTGGATAGCTTTACTCGTAGCATTGATATAGTTCTGAGTGGGGCTTCCATAATAACATTTGGGAAAAGAGAGGGGGAAGTGGCTGTTCTGTCCATGTTGGTGCCACTCAGGGCTGGGTTCTAACCCAGACTTTGTGATCCAGAGAGTAGGCATGAAATGTGTGAAGAGTGGATAGAGGTGTGTGTGTGTGTGTCTGTGTGTGTGTCTGTGTGTCTGTGTCTGTGTGTCTGTGTGTCTGTGAAAGAGAGAGAGAGGGAGAGGGAGAGATGGACACAAAGGAGTACATGAGAAGAAAGATTTGAGTCAAACAGAGCAGAGATCACCATCCCTACATTAAATAAGAATTAGTGTGTATTTGGCATCATTACCCAGGTTTCCCTCACATATAGCAGTCCTGTGTAGTAAATAGTTGTAGTAGTTTTGCATTTTGACCCAGAAATGACCTTTTCATTTTGCAGAATTCTCAGTGAAAATTATTTGACCGAATTACATAAAGACACATTTGAAGGCCTGCTATCCCTCCAGTATTTGTAAGTTAATTAGTTAATAATTTATTATGAGTTTTTAGCTATAATATCTATTTAAAAATATAGAGTTCAAATTGGATAATAGCAGCATTTCTTCTAACGGTAGAATTCTGTAATTCCCTATAAAATTGTATAATTCTCTAAGTCTATAGGGACCCAGCCCATCTCTAGCATTAAATACCTTCTATGCATTTTCAACTTTTTAATTTTATAGACAAGATATAGATAGGAAAAAACCCTTCAGTTATAGAGGAAAAGGAGTAATGAGCAATTATGGATACCCATACGAACGTTGTTATATAAGTGTTCATACGCTATCTGCTTATATTTATTATTATTTATGGCTCATGGATCAAATCCTGCCTATGGTCTGTCTTGATACAGCCCATGAGTTCAGAATGATTTTCACATTCTTAAAGGGCTGTAAAAGAGAAAATAAGAGAAAGGAACAGAGAAGAATATGTGACAGACCATATATGGCCTGCAAAGCCTAAAATATTTACTACCTGGCCTTTCCAGAAGATTTTAAAAAGTTGGCTTAGTAAAATGAGAGGAATTAAAGTTAACCTCAAATTGTCACCTACAAGACAAGAAAATATAGAACACTTACATTAATTTGAATGCCATTAGGCCAGAATTTTTAAATAATTTAAGGTAAATACTTAAATAAGCAGGTGAATTACGTAAGCTGTATTATCAAGTACATATTAAGTTACCAAGAGAACAGATTAAGGATTTCAGTGTGGGAATTTTTTATGAGTTCATTTTTTAATTATGATTTTGTATATAATTTATTGTCAAGTTAGGTAACATACAGTGTATGCAGTGTGCTCTTGGCTTCAGGAGTAGATTCCCGTGATCAGTGAAGGAATTCTTATCCCACTATGAAAATAGATGTTTAAATTGATGGTTAAGGGGCACGTGGCTTTCTTTGTCATTAAAGCCTGCAACTCTTGATCTTGAGGTTGTAGGTTTGAGCCCCTTGTTAGATATAGAGATTTCTTAAAAAAATAAAATCTTTAAAAATAAAATGATGGTTAAGTGGTATAGTTAGAAATGTTTGCACTAAATAAACATATCAGAAATGCCTCTAACTTCACTAATTACAAAATAAAAATCTCCCCAACCTCATTGTCGAGGAAGAAGTGTTTGCATCATATCTCTGTGTATTTAGACATACAGAGATACTAATGTTCTTTGCTATAAAGGTTCAGTGTTTCTTCTTGGCCCAGGTTACCCAGAGCTGTGTATTTCATTAATCCTTGTTCATGATGCTCTTTAGAAAATAGATTCTTCTTGCAAATGTGGAAGGCTTAATGGTAGTGAGTAAAAAGAGCCTCATATGACACTAAAAATAGTCTTTTTTTAGTGTCTTAGGGGACAACCACTTTTGTATTGGTTGTCTTGGATACCTCTGCCATCTGGGCTCCAAACCTTACAAACACAATTTGGAGAAAAACAAGTGAGATAAATTGCCCAATGGATTAGGCCCTTCATTACTTCTATGAAGTACTTCATAAGCCAGTGATTTCATGTTAGCTAAAGTATTCTCATTCTTTTTTTAAAAATGTCAGTCAAAAGCTAAAAAAGAATGTGACAGGCCCTGTACCCAGTACCATAGGCCTGCGGATGGTTAAAACAGGCTTTCCACCCTTGTAGGAACTCATGATTTCATAGGCAAAATAAACAGAAGCTCAAACCATAACGCATAAGCACTAAACAGATGATGGAGTGCTGCCGAAGTGGAGAAGAGGGAGCCACAAAGTCATAAAACCACATTTCTTTTCAAACAGTCATTTTGCTCCTTCTACTCCCTACCCAGCTGTTCATTTATTTCATAAATATTTGAGTTTGTTCTTTGTTGTTCATGCATCAGTTTTAAACATGGTAGACAGCGCAGATGAGCAGGACTAAGGACTAGTCCATACTTTCAAGGGGTTTATGCTCTGAGGAAATGGGATGCAAAAATAACTATATTAAAAAAAAGTTGGGGCACCTGGGTGTCTGAGTCAGTAGAGCATGCAGCTCTTGATCTCGGGGTCATGAGTTCAAGCCATAGTTGGACGTGGAGTCTACTTTAAAATTTTAAAAGAAGGAGAAGAAGGAGGAGAGAGGGAGGAGAAGAAATGGATATGGGCAAAATAAGAGGTATAATTGTTTTGGAACATAGAAGAGGGGGAAAAGACCAAGTTGGATCAGGGAAATTACTAGAGAAATGCTGTTTGAACAGAACCTTGAATGGCTACTAGGTATCATCAGATAGACATCTTGGGAAGAGTAAGCTTGCAAAGGAGAGTGGGTAAAAGGCAAAATGCAGGAGATATTTCTTTGGTATCTGTAGAGTAGGAAATTAGAGCCAGATTTAGGATTTTGAGGGCCATGGATAACATGCCAAGCTCCTATGTTATCACAGCCAGTGCTCTAAGACAAACTTTAGACTGCAGCAGGGTCACTTGAAGTCCTTGTCAGAACACAGGCTCCACCTCCACAGTTACTGATTCACTCAGTCCAGAGGAGAGCTGGGAATTTGCATCTTGACTCAGTTCCCAAGTGATGCAGGTATTTGAGAACCACTTCTGGAGCATTAATCTGGTGACTGTGTGCAGTAGACATTAGAAAGGGAGAGACTAGAGATGAAAATGCCAGTCAGAAGGTAGTTACACCCATGGAGGGGGAAAGTGAGGGACTCAGCTAGAATCACTGGAAATAAGAGGGTCAACTCTAATCAAGAACGGGTGCTTTCAAGTAAAAATCCAGTACCATGTTGTTTTTCTGTTGGCCCCACTTGCAGCTGAAGCAGTTGTTAAATTCATGGACTGTCAACCAAAAATGAATTTCTATTACTATGATAATATAATTCTGAGTTAGTTCAAAGTTACATATTGATTAGAGGAGTAACTTCCTTTCAAGTTAAATGAAAAGGTATCTTTTATTTCTTCTGGTATTTTCTTGGCCTCAAAAAAATAGAACTAAACCGGGAAGGTGTGCTAATGTGAGAATATCCTTTTTAATATTGGAAATTATATGTGGCGATCACAACTTTGAGCTCATAATCTAGAAACTGATGAGGCCACAAAAAGTCGATTCTTCGGCTCTCAGGAAAGATTACTTCCAAAATCTATCAAGATCTTTAGTTGTATATTTTATGTATTAAGATCATGAAGGTGAGACTCTTTAGAAAATTGAGGACAGGGTTAGGGGCTCTGGAAGGTTCAAATAACAATTCCTCATACTCAGAATTTAGGCAAAAGCTACTTATTCAATACTACCATCCTACTAATTAGGTATCTTATAACTAATTGAGGCAATATTTTCCTTTTCCTTTTCCTAGAGATTTATCCTGCAATAAAATACAATTTATTGAAAGACGTACATTTGAACCACTACCTTTTTTGCAGTTTATGTAAGTTACAATATAATTTCATTTTATTTGGAATTTTTATTAAACTTAATTGTAAACTTGTTACTCATTTTGAAATATAATTAAAATTTTATTAGTAGAAAGCTAAAATTATATGGCAAATCTTTTTTGTCTGTGGCAAAGTTTAGCGTGAGAATTATTATAGGGATGAGAGTGAATCATTCTAGAGCAGCGGTTCCCTGCCAGGGTGATTTTGCACCCAGATGCCACTTGGTAGTATCTAGACACTTGATTGTCAGACTGTAGACATGCTACTGGCATCTAGTGGGTGGAGGCCAGAACTGCTGTCCCGCACCGTGCAGTGCACAGGGCAGCTCCCCAGTAACAAAGAGCATCCAACCATTAACCTCGATAGCACTGAAGTTGTGAAACATTTTTCTAGAGAAATAAAGATTACTCAACACTAGGATCTATTGAGCATTTACTGATTTGTATCTAATGCACCACATGTATAAACATGAAAGTACAAATCTTTCATGCAAATATTTTTTTTAAAAAGGCAAATATCTTCCATAGTGAGATTTCTTTAGTGTATGGAGAGAGTATTAATGATTATGTTTCATCGTCTATAAATTCGAATCACTGCCAAAGGATAAATATTCTGAAAGAATATCTTTTTTTCTTCTTCTTTTGCTTGTGTCTTTTTGTTTGTTTGTTTTGTTTTGTTTTTTATAGAAATCTTGGTTGCAATTTACTCACAGAACTGAGCTTTGGAACATTTCAGGCCTGGCATGGAATGCAGTTTTTACACAAGTTGTAAGTGAAATAGAAAATGAATACATGTAAAAAAAAAAAAACAAAAAAAAACCTACGTGTAAAAACATCATACAGTTATTGGTTAGGTGGGTGTTAATAAACCCAGTATGAACTATGGAAAGTATGTCTCGGGGCGCCTGGGTGGCTTAGTTGGTTAAGCGTCCGACTTTCGCTTAGGTCATGATCTCGCGGTTCGTGGGTTCGAGCCCCACGTCGGGCTCTGTGCTGACTGCCAGCTCAGAGCCTGGAGCCTGTTTCAGTCTGTGACTCCCTCTCTCTCTGACCCTCCCCTGCTCACGCTGTCTCTCTCTCTCTCTCTCTCCTAGAAATAAATAAAACATTTAAAAAAAAAAAAAAAAAAGGAAAGTATGTCTCAAAATCCTTTTTTTTTTTTTTTTCAAATGAGGAAACTAAGGTACAAACAGGCCAGGAGACGCGTCTTATCCCATAAAAGGCACTCTCTGCTCTCCCTAGTCCCCAGCTTTTGACTGGGCAATAAAAGGCCCCAAGCAAATAACACCCCCAAGACAGCATTATCATGGGAATTCATGTGCAAAGTTCCTGATTGCTTCAATGTATGCAAAATAGAGCTTGAAAGAACTAAGTTTAGCACAGAGTTCTCCGGGGAGCAAAAGGTATGGGTGTTTCCCCAGCTATCAGTAAAGCAGAAAGAACTCCTGAAAACCTGCCATAGAGTACTGCTCTCCCTAGTCACCCAAAACATTATTTTTCAAAACCTACATACCTCTGAGGTAAATTATCTGGGGGCAATAGGCACTTTTGAGGTACAGGAAAAGATACTGTATTAAGCTGTAGTGTGAAAAACATTCATAAAGAAAACACATTTGCCGTGGCCTAATTCCAAACGCTTGCTCTCCTGGCTACTCTTCAGTTAAGAAGTGTGTTATTCCCTTGCAGCTGGAAAATTCTGTGATTTCTCTGTAAAAAAACGAATCATACTAGGCACGTTCAATGGCCTGAGAGGGAATTTTAGACTTACGGTGAAGATCTTCCTCTAAAGTAGACTGGAAAAGACTGTCTCACCTGTCTTGTGGTTCAGAAATCCAATTTCATCCAGTTTATCTTAGGTTGGATGCAGGTGTTTACAGTGTGTCTAGAGCTGTAGTAAGTTCCTGGAGGTGCCCAAGTGTAGGGGCCTCCTCTCTCCTCTCATTAGTTTGCTGATGCCTAGATTGGGGAAAGAATATTGAGGGCCAGTTTCTTGTTCTGCCAGCATGCCAGAGAAGAGGCTCACTGGGGTCTCCAATGAGAGGGTTTAGTGGTGTCAATAAAATGTCTTAAAACTCACCACCTTTACTAAGCATCTTATAACGCCAAGAGTCTCTTCTAAGAATCTGAATTTCACAGTTATGTAGGCAACACAGAACAAAATCGGGTGGAATCAGTTGATGACAAGGAATACTCATGTCCTGTGATTTGAATAGAGCTGTACTACTAAAACTAATTCACAGTTAACTTCCAAAAACTTATCACTATACAGGAAGAATGTATTGGGGGCTGGGCTCCCTGTTTGGGGCCAAATTTTTCTTTTCTTTCTTTTTTTTTTAAAGTTTATATATTTATTTTAAGAGAAAGAGAACATGCGCAGAGGAGATACCACCGCTTGAATTAAATCACATTATTACCTATGTGACATATTCCTGGGGTGTTTATAAGTTGAAAACATATTTTCCCCAGCATTAAATGTTTGTAAAACTTTTAGGTCCCAGTTGAGGTGGATTTATTTGAACTGAATGAAGCTTAAACTTCAGGGCTTCTCACTTACACAGGCCTCTGCCAAGGTCTTGGGAGGGGACCTAGCAATTTCTGTATTCATAATTTTGCATGTTTTTATTAGACAGGATTTCCCAAAGTATATGAGGTTCAGGCCCCATAAGACCTTGATCCACCCCTGGGTTTCAGGTAATTATATCTCAGTAAGTTTTTTGAATGAAGCCTCTTAAGTTTCTGATAAACACTAAGAGGGTGCATTAGCAGTGTGGTAAAGTCTATTTTGAATCTGAAATCCACCTCAGAGCCATGCCAAGAGCTTATTAATAAGGTACCACTTTTTGTATGGTAGCAATAATCCTATCTCTTTCAGATGAAATCAGGAATGAAATATATTATGGAAAACCAGCAGTGGTTGATAATCCTAAATGTTAAGTATCCTTTTTTTTTTTTCCTGACTTTAAAGTGCTTCTCCTTCATTCACCTACACAGGTCCAGACTGATGGCTTCTTTTTTAAAAATTCCTTTAGTCACTTCATTGGTTCTAACAATACAAGCTCCTTGATTTTAGAAACTGAAGGACTCTACAATGTAGAAAGGCTGTACCTTATCCAGATAGAGCACATTCACATGCCGGCTTGTCTGTGGCTTGTCAGTATTTTGCCAAGAACATAAGCGCTAAGAGAGAATAAGGAAAATCTAAACCTTATCCCTGTTGGTTTATTGAGAATATCAATGAGGTAGGTGTGGCCACACTCTGAGGGCAAAATCGAGCTGCAGTCACAGAGACGCCCTAATGCTCCCCCAGTCAGCCAGCATCGGTTTCCTTTTCCGTGTGCACATTCAAGTTTACACACTTCAGGGTATTGTCATCACTTTCTGGTATGTACTGGAAATCCTGGCAGCAGCTTCTCATATTCAGAAAGGCGTAAACATTAAGGATGAAAATAATAACTCAGGGTTGTCCTTTGGGGTCATTTAGGGTGACTGTTTTATTATGTTCCATGTGTAATAGCTCAAAAGCTTTGAGATAGTCTTACCCAGCTACTACTTTTCTTTTCCCACCTGCATCTGATTCTTCCCACGTATATACCAACACGTCTTCTTTCTCTAGAAAGCATGGCAATTCCTCCTCTGCTCCGCCACATTTCTTTAGTGCCTTCCTCTATTAGGTATTTACTGTGTTCCAGGCACTATGCTTAGACCTTTCACTTATTCTACAGGTAAGAGAGCGTGACTTAAACCCTTAGAATAATGCCTGGCACATGGGAAATGCTCAACATATGGCACTTCACACTATATCTCATTTTCGTTTTTTCAGCAACTCTTGTGATAACAAGTAGTATTATCCCCATTTTGGAGATGAGGAAATTGAAACTCAGAGATGTCAGGTGACTTGCCTAGGTTCACACTGTTAATAAGTGGCCGAACCACTTAACAAGCTTTGCAAGGACTACGACTCCGCATTCCCTTGTATGAGGAGCTGAATGACAACTGGCCTTTTGTGTACCGTCCCTTGGGGTCGGCTTCCAGTCCTTCTGGAATAGGACCTTTAGACCAGGGAGCTTTTCCCTTTTTCCCTAGGACATTCCCATGCTTCTGGAGCTTCTGGCCACGCCACCTATAGGCATCCTCAGGCTTTCTGCTCACGGCCTAATGCAGATATCACATCGTCACTGCTAGGCACCTACTGTGTGTGTGTGTGCAGCCTTATGCTAGGTGCTCTGCACGTGCTCTTTCCTTTCATTCTCAGGTGGCCTTATGAGGTAAATGCTACTAAGTAAGACTCAGAGACATCTGTTACTCAAGTCACTTCACCAGGAAGTGACAGCCAAAATTCAGACCTAGGTCTGCCTGATTCCAGGGCCCTTGCTTCTCGGGCTGATCCTCACTGCCAGAAACTCTTCTTCCAGGCTATTCTCAGAACTTTCATTCAAACATAGGCTCACCATTTCAGATTCTTTAGACTTTGCCCCTCCCCCCCCGACCCCTGAGATAGGATTTATGTGATGCAGTCACATGTCTTGTATTGAGGAGCTTCACATGGGGAGTCATGTTCTCATGGCTCATAGACCTATGTAGATGAATAAAGGTCACTCCATCCCCAAGTACTTCAAGCATACTGGCATAGGGTCTAGATCACTCTACTTATTTCTTCAACTGCTTTCCTCCAAGGAGCCAGGTTTCCCTCCATGCCTTGGGATTCCAGCATAGGTAGTTTGGAATTTGTCCTATTTTAAATTTATTTTCACTGCCTGCTTTGGACATTTTTTCAGCTAAAGCTGTTAGGATTTCAGTACATTCAGGACAGTGATGACACGCTTTAGTCCTCAATTATTCTCTGTCTCCTCAGTTAATAGAAAGGAAATGTAGCCTATCTGTCTGGACCTGTGTAGAAGAATTTGGAGAAAAAAAATAACAGGTAAGAAATGTTCCCTTATTTTGCGAGCTACCTTCAGTCTGTCCTGTTGGCTCTGCAATGAAAAGTTTTTGCAAAAATACTTGAGTTTTCCTCTTCAAATAAGATATAGTTTTATTTAAAAAAAATCTAAAACAATATTTTTTTCAACTTTGATTATGAGACAGTGTTTGAGGCTAACGGTTATATATATATATAGGTATATATATATATATATACCAAAAAACCAATAGACTATGAGTCAGCACACCTTTTATCTGTAAAATGAGGGGACTGAACCAAAATGGAAATGATCTCTAGGGCAATGTCCACTGTGAATCTAAGGCCATTTGTATTGTGGTCTGTGGGGAAAGAGTTGCTGTAGAGTCTCGCAAATGTGACCCGTTGAGTCAGTTCTCATTCTCCCCTCGGCTCAGGCACAATAGCTGCATGAAGAAAAGGCAGCACTAAAGACAGAAGGAGGAAATAGGATAATTTAGAGTGGCCTGTATTGTGTTTTCACTACCGAGAAACACAGGGCATTAATCTTCAGCAGGAGGGCTGCCTGGGTAGGAGGAAGTGCTGAGCTGATGGGTACAAGACCAACGGGTGAGCCACCAGGAAAGGGGGAGGGAATGGGGGTAGAGCACTGAGATAATTGGGGGGAAGGATAACAAACTGCTAAATTGTTATTGGTTATATAATGCTTTATAGTCATTCTTATTGGGGGTAGTGGGAGGGGAGAGGCGTGGGTGGAAGAGCATACTTGCGCAGAGCCCACTGGGAAGCTTATAGATACTAACACCAACATGTTTTATCAAAGCCAAAGGACATTCAAAGCCTCAAGGTTGAGGAACTGTGTTTAACCAAACATGAGACACTCACGTTCTTTCTCTTTATAACGTTGTCTTACTCAATATTAACTAGTGTTACAAATCCAACATGTTAATGGTCCTGAAAAAAAATGTAGAAGAATGGGCTAGAATAGGAAGAATAGGGGAGTTTCCAAGGCAAGAACAAAAATGCATGGCTCCCAGCCTCGCCACTGACTCCCTCTGACCTCAGTCTGTGGAAGAGTTTGAGCCTTCACTCCCCTTTTCTCCACCTACCAACATGTTTGGTCTTCTGGCAGCTAGTTCTCTATTTATCACAACATGGTTCTTTTTTTTCAAATTGAGATATAGTCCGCATAATATAATATGCAACATTATAAAGTATACAGTCCAAGGGTATACTTTGATAGACAATAATCACCACTAATTCTATAACATTTTTATGACCCCCCCCCCCCGAAAGAAATACCATATCCATCAGCTGTTACTCCCTATTCTCCCCTCCTCCCAGGCCCCTGGCAACAACTAATTTACTTTCTGTCCCTATGGATTTGCCTGTCCTGGACATTTCATAGAAATGTGTGTCTAGTTTCTCTCATGTAGCATGTTAGCTTCAAGATTTATCCATGTTGTAGCATGTATCTGTAGCTCACTCTTTTTTTAATGTTTATATATTTTCGAAAGAGCGAGAGCACGGACACAAATGGGGAAGGGGTAGAGAAAGAGGGGGATAGAGGATCTGAAGCCACAAAGCCTGATGTGGGGCTCTAGCTCATGAACTGTGAGATGATGACCTGAACCAAAGTCAGATGCTTAACCGACTGAGCCACCCAGGTGCTCCAATCACATTTTGTTCATCCATTCAAGAGTTGTTGGACATTTGGATTGTTTTCACTTTCTGGTATTATGAATAATACTGCTATGAGTATTCATGTACAAGTTTTTGTGTGGACATATGTTTTTAATTCTTTCGGGTACAGACCTGAGAGTGGAATTGCTGGGTCATTTGGTAACTCTATTTAACCCTTTCGAGGAACTGCCAAACTGTTTTCCATAGTGACTACGCCGTTTTACCTTCCCACCAATGTGTGAAGATTCTGGCTTCTCCAAAATCTTGCTACCACTTATCATTATCTCTCTGTTTGATTATAGCCATCTTAGTGTGTGGAGAGTAGTATCTCATTATAGCTTTAATTTGTATTTCCCTAATGACCTAAGATATTGAGCATCTTTTCGTGTGCTTCTTTGCCATTCATGTGTTTTCTTTGTAGAAATGTCTATACAGATCCTTTGTCTCTTTAAACATTTGATTATTTGTCTTTTTACTGAGTTGTAAGAGTTCTTTATATATTCTGGATGTTCTGGATACTAGACTTTTATCAGACATATGATTTGCAAATATTTTCTCCCATTCTGTGAGTTGTCTTTCACTTTCTTCAGAATGTCCTTTGAGGCACAATAGTTTTTTATTTTTTATTTTTATAAAGTCCAGTTTATCTATTTTTCCTTTGGTTGTTTGTGCTTTTGGTGTCATGTCTAAGAAACTGTTGCCTAAATCCAAGGTCATAAAGATTTCTAAGAGTTTTATAGCTTGAGCTCTTCCTTTAGGTATTTGATCCATTTTGAGTTAATGTTTATATACGGTGTGAAGTGTAGGAATCCAACTACATTACTCTGTATGGGGGTACACAGTTGTCCTAGCACCATTGGAAAAGACTAGCCTCCCCACACTGAATTGTTTTGGCCCCTTGTTGAAAATCAATAGACGACACATGTGAGGATTTTCTCCTGGACTGGCAGTTATGTTCCATCAATTTATGTCTGTTCTTATGCCAGGACCACACTGTGATTACTCTAGCTTTGAGTTGGGTTTTGGAACCAGGCCACATGAGTCTTCCCATTTTGTTGTTCTTTATCGAGATCGTTTTGGGGCACCTGGGTGGCTCAGTCGGTTAAGTCGCTGGCTCTTGACTTCAGCTCAGGTCGTGATCTCAGGATTTATGAGATGGAGCCCTGAGTTGAAATCTGCACTGACAGCATGGAGCCTGCTTGGGATGCTCCCTCTCCCTCTCTCTCTGCCCCTCCCCTGCTCACACTTGATCTCACACACAGGTGCACATGCTCTCTCTCTCAAAATAAATAAATAACCTTAAAAAAAAAAAGATCATTTTGGCTATTCTCAATCCCTTGAATTGACACACAAATGTTAGAATTAGCTTGCCAGTTTCTGGAAAGAAGTCAGCTGGGATTTTAATAGGGATTGTGTTGAAACCATAGTTCAATTTGGGGCACAGTGACATTTTAACAGTATTTTCTTCTGATCCATGAACATGGCATATCTCTACATTTATTTTAATCTTCTTTAATTTCTTCCAACAATGTTTTGTGGTTTTCAGTGTATGAGTCTTGCACTTTTTTGGTTAAATGTTTTCCTAAATATTTTATTCTTTTTAATACTGTTATACATGGAATTGTTTTCTTAATTTCATTTTTGGAATATTTCTTGCTAATGTAGTTCAGAATCTTGTATCCTGCAACCTTGCTGAACTCATCTATTAGTGCTAAGTTGTTGTTTTTTGTCTACATTCCCAGGAATATGTCTTGTGGTGTTCTAATTTCCCAGGAATATGTTGGAGCATTTCAAAGTCTCTATGGACATCTCATTTTCAGCTTTTCCCTTTTAGGTTTTTTGGTTAGGCTATTTTTTGTCTTGTCATCAATTGCCTCACACTGCTGCCAAGTTAAAACATTTACCTGTAATTGTTTTCAGAAAATGCGCCTGGGGAAGAGGCTATGTTAGCACTGTGCCGTTCTCAGCGAGGTCAAGCACAAGCCTTTCAAGTTTTTTAGGGAACCCACTAGACAGGTAAAACAATGAGTTCTTTGGAATGAGGCTTCAAGGAATTTCAGCTCCACTTTGTTCCTCTGGGATGCAGGCTATTAGTCAAGGCTACCATCAGGATGGAGGTCTAGGACAAGTTAAAACAGATCTCACTGTTCTTATAGAAATTAATAATTTTTTTAAAATAAGTGCTCTCTGCATTGCTGCAAGCTCATTGCTTAAATTTTCCAAAGTTCTGAAAAAGTTGATTCTGATCATTTTTGCTAGTTTTTGTTGTTGTTGCTTTTACAGAGGGATGAATTTTCAGATGTCCTTCCTTTCTCATTTTCACTGATTCACCCATAACATGGTTTTAAAATCTTTAAAGTCTCAGGGCACGTGGGTGGCTCAGTCAATTAAGTGCCTGACTCTTGATTTCAGCTCAGGTCATGATCTCAGAGTCATGGGATCAAGCCCTGTGTTGGGCTCTGCCCTGGACTTGGGAGCCTGCTTGGGATTCTCTCTCCCTCTTCCTCTGCACCTCCCTCACTCATACTCTCATGCTCTCTCTCTCTTAAAAAATAAAATAAAAAAATAAAAAAATGAAATCTCTAAAGTCTCAGTGACCATAAGTTAATTAAATACTTAATCATGGGAGATGATTAGAAAAAAGGAATAAAAATAGAATATGTAATTCTCAAAGAAGCTCTCCCAGATGGAGTGGTGAAGTTCTACAAAGTGTTTCTATATTTAATGCTCTCAAAGTTAAGTTTAAGGTAACAGCTATTTTAAGCGCCCTTTTTTTTCATACAAGTAAAACACAGGCTTTGGAGTCAGAATTGAGTTCAGACTCCAGCTCTGCTTGTGACCAGCTTGACAAACTAGGACAAATTACACACCCTCTCTGTACCTCAGTTTCCTCACTTGTAAAATGGGGTAATGATAGTATCTATCACATAATGTTATCATGAGATTTAAAGGTGAAATGCTGATCACAGATGCCTTATAGCCCAATAGTATTGGTTATGATGATTACCTTTATAATATTTTGCAAAAGTACAACAATGATACTTGAGTAGAGTCAGCCTAACGGCAGATTTTCTTTTCTTTCTTCCTGTTTCTTTCAATTTTTTGTTTGTTTGTTTTAAAGAATTGAGAAGAAACTCTACTCAGCGTTTTGGAATAAAAACTTGTGTCAAAAAGTGACAAAATGTTATTTATTCAATAAGCATTCACTAAATAGCTAGTAAAATTTATAAGCACTATGTCAGGCACAGGGACAACAATGACGATAAAGTATGGTCCCTGCCCTCAAGGAGCTGACAGTCCAGGAGACGGATAAGGAAACAGGTGATTACATGCCATGTGACAAAGGCTGTGATTTAAGAATACACGTAGCAGGAGTATAGCTTTCACCATTTCCTCTTAGATTGAGCCCTTCTTCTTTGGCCCTCAAACTGAGGAATTCGTCCTATTTTTGTCTTTAACTGGGTGGTTTAAACTGGGCAATTTTTTAAATTTCTAGAAAGAAAAGCATCTAGAATTATAGAGGACACTAGACACAGTATTTCTTACAGAGCCAGGCCTTCCCACCAACATAGTCACTTCCAGGGTTTTCAGCCTAAAAAGCTCTTTGGCATATTTTTTCTTTGCTATCCACTTTAAAAAAAATTTTTTTTGTCCTCATTCTGTTCTCCACTTTATTGTCCAGAGACTTGGGCCATTCCCAAAGGAAGAGTGCTTTCCAGACTCTAAGGGTGATTTACAGGCAATGGAAGAAAACGATTAGTTTTAAACTGAAAGGTTTAAAATACCCCCAAAATGAACATAAACATTCATGGTAGTCATTATTGAAAATGCAGATAATTTTAATTCCATTGCATTTTTCAGAACTCTCAGTCATAACCCTCTGTCAACTGTTGAAGATTCATACCTTTTTAAATTGCCGGCATTAAGATATTTGTAAGTATTGCAACAATCTCATGGCTCATGAGATGATTTCTCCTCTTTTTTATTGTCATCAAAAGATTAAGTATTTTGCATTTTGGTTAAAAATTCATAACTTAAATTTTAACTAGGTTATTGAAATAAGCAGTATTGGCAAAGAAAGAATGTAGATGGACAAGACAGTCTGTGGAGGAAGGAGCCGTGTAGAAGACACATACAGACACGGGACGTGTAGATGTGTGGAGAAATACCATTTATCTCAAAATGCAAAGTGGAGCAAGGTGTATGTTTAAAAAAAAAAAAGACTACTCAAGAGAGGTAGATGCAATTGAAAATGAAAATTAGGATGATAGTAAAATAGATTGTACCACTGAGGGCCAAGGTGACTAATTTGATGATGCACATAAATATCCTCATTAAGAGTGCTCTGAAATTATTGTCCATAGCAAGTAAATTCTTGAGCTGACTTGACAGAGAAGCCAGAATTTAAGTAATCACATGTTGTCAAGTATCTTTTTAAGTATAGAATTTTTTTGTCTTTGGGCTCAAATCACGCATGTTTGGGCTTTCTCCTTCAGAGACCTGGGAACAACAGAGGTGTCACTTACAACAATCGAGAGCATTCTCATGATGACCTTTGAACTGGAAAAACTGTAAGCTGATTTCTCTTCTGTTTATTTTCTCTTCGTTGTTTATTCAGGTTTGTTTTATTGTTTTAAGTCACATCTATTGAGATAATTTTCATTTCATAAAATTTACTTTTTTTAAGTATACAGTTTGATGAGTTTTGACAAACACATAGTTATGTAACCACCACACTTGAGGGGCAGAACATTTCTGTCACGCCAAAAGGCCCTGCCTCTCTGGGCCTTTGCAGCCAATCTCCTTTTCTCACCACCAGCCCGGGCAATACCAACCTAATTTTTGTCCGTTTAGTTTTGCCTTTTCCACAGTGTCTTATAAATGAAATCATACAGGGGGCACCTGCATGGCTCAGTCAGTTAAGCATCGAACTTCAGCTCAGGTCGCGATCTCGCTTTTCATGAGTTCAAGCCCTGTGTCGGGCTCTGTGCTGACAGCTCAGGGCCTGGAATCTACTTCGGATTCTGTGTCTCCTTCTCTCCCTGCCCCTCCCCCATTTGCATTCCATCTCCCTCTCTCTCAAAAATAAATGAACACTAAAATCAATCAATCATACAGTATATGGTCTTCTGTGACTGGCTCCTTTCACTCAGCATAATCCTGAGATTCATCCATGATCTTTAAAAACAATTTTTTTAAGTATATTTATTTTTGACAGAGCATGAGCAGCGGAGAGGCAGAGAAAGAGGGAGACACAGAACCTGAAGCAGGCTCCAGGCTCTGAGCTGTCAGCGCAGAGCCCTATGCAGGGCTTGAACCCACCCACCATGAGATCATGGCCTGAGCTGAAGTCGGTTGCTTATCTGACTGAGCCACCCAGGCATCCCATGGATTCATCCATGTTATTGTACATATCAGTAGTTTATTCCTTTTATTGCTGAGTAGTATTCCAGTTGTGTGGATATGCCAGTTTGCTTATGCATTCATCAGTTGATGGACATTTGAGTTGTTTCTAGCTTTTTGGCCATTATGAATAAAGTTGCTAAAAATACTCACATGCAGGTCTTTGCATGAGCATATGTTTTCTTTTGGGGGAGGGTGGTAAAATACCTAATGGCAGGATTGCTACATCGTATGGCCAAGTGTATATTTAATTATATAAAAGTTGCATATCTGTTTTCTACACTTGGTCTTAGCCAAAAGGCCAAGAAGCGATTCGTGTCTGTTTTCTAAAGTGGATGTGCAATTTTGCATTCCAGCCAGCAGTATGTGAGATCTTCACCTTATATTTCAGTTAAAAAAAATTTTTAGCCTTTCTAGTAGGTATCTCATTGTGTATCTCATTGTGGCTTTTATTTGCATTTCTCTAAAGCTTATGATGTGGAGTTCTTCATGGGCAAATATCTTCTTTAATGATGTGTCTGCTCAAATCCATTTCTTAATTGGATACTTACTGAGTTTTAGGAGTGTGTTATATATTCTGGAAAAAGTCCCTTCTCTCAGATAGATGTTTAGCAAATTTCTTCTCCCAGGTTGTGGCTTGTCTTATTTCGTTCTCTCTCTGAAGACCAGAAGCTTTTAATTTTTAAATTTTGGTGAACTCACCTATTTCACCTGTCCTTCCACTCCCAGCCTCTCTGGTAACCATTAGTTTGTTCTCTATAATTAAGAGTCTGTTTCTTGATTTGTCTCTCTCTTTCTATTTTTTTCCTCCCTTGTTCCCCTTTCTTCATTTTGTTTCTTTCTTTCTTTCTTTAAGTTCCACACATGAGTGGAATCATATGGCTTTTGTCTTTCTCCGATTGACTGGTTTTGCTTAGCATTATGTTCTCTAGATCCATCCATGTCATTGCAGATGGCAAAATATCATCCTTTTTTGTGACTGAATAAAATTCCATTGTATATATACCACATCTTTATCCATTCATCTATTAATGGACAATTAGGCTCCTTCCATAATTTGCCTATTCTAAATAATGCTGCAGTAAAGATATGGGGTGCATGTATCCCTCTGAATTAGTGTTTTTTGTATTCTTTGGTTAAATACCCAGAAGTGCAATAACTGGATTATTGAGTAGCTCTGTTTTTAATTTTTTGAGGAACCTCCATCCTGTCTTCTACAGTGGCTGCACCAGTTTGTATTCCCATCGACAGTGCATAAGGTTCCTCTTCTCCGTATCCTCGCTAAAACTTGCTGTTTCTTGTGTTTTTTATTTTCGCCATTCTGACAAGTAGGAG